TTTATTGGAGATCTTGAAGCCCTGGGTTCTAATCTCGACTCGTGAAAAAAATGGTTTAGATCGAAGATCTTTACCTGTCAGGCCCACTCTCTAGCTCTTTCTAATTGCCATAAAACAATTCCAGTATTAATAAAAAATATGAACTTATAATACTTTCTGTATTTCTTAGTAAAGTTAATAATAAATCACCTGCAATTCATAATAGTGGATAACATTTCTAATTGTTTCAATAAATACTATAAAAGGTGTTAAAATTCTAGGAGTTCCATGGGAGATTATAAGAAAGAATATATGTTGAGAGTTATTGATTCATCCAAATCCAAACTGGACCAGTGTGACGGGTCGAAACTTTTGCGAGAGAAGGTACCCAGTAGTGGGACATAAATAGGAACTTGAAGCCGTAAATAACCTTTAACATCGCGATCTGCTTAATGTGGAGTAATTTGTGTGAGTTTACGACTTAATTTGGACTCGTAATCAGTTTAAAGAAGCACGTCGAGTCGCAGATTACTCGCGAGAACAAATGTCGGGTCTCGAGTCTGACGGATATACTGGAGCGTTCACTTTATGTTTTTCAATTCATTCCACTCGTATCTCCGCTTAATTTCGCGAAATGAGAATACCTTTTTGATAGCTTTATTCTAATTTGTTCTCCGCATGTTGTGTTGCTTGGATTTAAGGACACTATGCATGTTTGTAGTCGCTACGAGCCATGTGTGTGGTAAATGTTAGAATAATTTAAATACTCAAATTACTTATATATTAATCTTGCGTGTAATATTATTTTCTTTCACTCTACATTTAAGATCTATTAACATTAAAACATTCTAAGATAACTTGACCAATTTAGCTACATACTACTAAATTGTGTAAGGCATTCATGGTAATCGTTAATTGGTTGAAGAATTAATTAATTTAATTAACATCTCCTGATGATACCGTTCGATGCGTGATGGCAAAACATCAAGAACGTCTTCTCGCTGACGTCGGCCCAATAGACCGGCAAACAATGATAAATCTAAGATATTTTTAATTTATATATTACTATCATGTACAACAATAACATGCGAAAATATTAAGTATTAAAATTTTGTTTTACAGTTCCGAACAGTCAGTTCAATAAATAAAACACTTTTTAACCCTTAAAAGTTTTTACTAAACTATTTGAGGAAAATTCTAATTCTAATCTAATTACAATATAAAAATAATTTTTAATTAGTTTTAAACATGTTTTTAATTAAGTCCGGGCATGGGTGAACACACTTTTGTGTCCGTTTCACTGATCGATTTTTTTATACAAGCGCGTAGGTAATCAGACTTCTGTGCCCAACAACAAACAATCTAATGTTTCACCACGATTCGAAGCCAGAACCCCTCGCGCTTAATGCATTGTTATGCAACACACTTAACAAATAAGCTACAAAGGCGGTCATCCGTCTATAGATCGATATTATGATACAGTCCATTTATTTTTAACTCGAACCCGACGTTTTTGATAGAATACTTTTAGATTTTCATAAATTTATGTCATCAGCCAGTTGGGGCGATTATTGTTTAGTTATGTAACTATCCCACTTAAGTTTCTTCTTATTTTGTAAAATAAGACAATCTTAAAATATTAATATAATTAAATATAATTCTCATTTCATTATACAAATACACCGTACTAAGGAAAGACATGTATTTTAACACAAAAGTCAAATATAGCTATAGCAAAATATATTTCCCCTTAAAACCTAACTAAGCCAATATGCAGACCACTCATAAAATTGTACCGTAAAATTGTGATGCTACAAAACTCGCGAATTCAAACACGTAATTTAATTTCGGTATCTAACATAACGCTTTGTTAATACCGTAATGTATACAACATTAAAAAGTTAAACAGGAACCGCCCTAAACTTTGGTTTAGCTTCAGTTTAATTGGGTGTACACTATTATAAAGTTTCCATATTTATTACCACGTGGGGAATAATTATTATTCAAACAAAATTTTATCATAGTAAACATAATAGCTGAGAGCGATCTCAAACACCAAGTTAAAATATTTGTACATAAAACGTGAACAATATGATTATATTGTGAACATTTAAACTGTATTTTATGGTAAAATATTGCTCTGTCTACCCGCTAATAGCGGTGTTAAATTAACATAAGCTCTTATTTAAAAAATTGATTAAGATGTATTGTTAAACTTCAAACACTACGTCCTTGACTTTTGAAAAAAAAATCTAACGTCTGTGTACATATTATTTTTTCTCAGCTTTCCACCATCTAATTTATAGTCTGTGGGTTGCACAGTGTACTGTCAAAATCCCCAACCAAACAAAACGTCAAAGTAAGCACACAATTTTCCTTCATCGGTTTACTCAAAGATTTATTTAGACACAATTTAAGCTACGGTATAACGAAACTTGGCGCGTGCTTCTCGATCTAACGTACATTATGACAAGCACGTTCCTTAACTCAATAGAAGTTTTGATCACTTCCTGAAATAACTCCAGATATCACAGATTTTCTTTTCAGCCATCCAATGTTATAATACGCTGATACTGTGAGCGTTTAAGCTCCTTAAAATTACTTACGTATTTTGCTTGTGCTACGAAACTAATATTAGCTAGAAAAAACGGTCCTTTCATAATTAACATTAAACTTATGCTATATGTAACGTTACGGTAACGAGTATATAATATCAAATTAATAACTTTATTAAACGTATAGTGAATTATTATAATTATCTTACTCAGAGAAAAGTAATGCAAAAAGGATCTCACGTCAGCATAAATTCTATAATATCAAATTTGTATCCTCATTCAAACTAAATCGGAAATCTATTAAACTTTGCCCAAACCCACATAGTTCACCTGGCTTGGTTAGGCCATTAAGCGAGCCGGCAAGCAATGGAGGGCAGGCATTTGAGGCGAGAACTTCCTCAGATTACTGTTAACTGACCGAATAACTATCCAGTCATCAAACATTATTTGATTGAACCTAGAATGGGAGAAACATCAGTTCTATGTTCGCCCACTGAACACATGAACATAATTAAGTACGTAGAATTAGCTTAAAAAATATTTAAGATTTAATTTATTGATTATTAACAATACATTATTTTTACTACCATTATTACTACCATGACACTAACGAGCTCGTCAAATATTACAATAATACTATAGAATAAGGCACTATATAATTTAAAGATCCAAAATAAATTGAAAAAATTCGTCAGCATCGTCAGCGTTACGTGCTGTTGCCCTACGTGCAGGAGTCGGTAGCTCAATTGGTAGGGCAACAGCACGGAACGCTGATGATGTCGGTTCAAGTCCTGCCCGAGTCGAAAAATTGTTCAATTTATTTTCGATTTTTAAATAATACTATAGGAATAAAGAGAACAAAGAGATTTAGCGATGGGGACTATCAATTTCCTCGCAAATCGTTTTTCGATTACGATCATACTTTTAATGACTGCACGAATGCACCCTTTATTGCGCCGCGGGGTGTTGGCGAGTCCGTGAGGTGCTATACACACACTCGGGACGGTACCGTCCTCAAGTGAAGTGGGGCAGGTGCCGTCGCGGCCATGAATATTAACACACATGAATATTCCGACTATGTTTGCACATTTCTTGCTTGATTCTGCGTCGCATGTGAGGCGCTTTATGTTCGAAATAATTTATGGAGGCGCGCTTGTGATAATTACACCTGTAACTGCTTGTGTCAGGGAAACATTTGAATGATAATTTGTTGTAAACCATGTGTCGTTTAATTTAGGGCGACGTTTAATAAGCTTTTAATTCGAGTTTGTATTGGGACTTAATTATAAGCGTTATCTATAGCTTGCGTGTCTACCGACAATATTAAATTTTATTATGCTGCTAGAAAAATTGTATTTAAGTATCTGATACTTGTAGAGTAAAATACAGTTATCAGAGAATACAGAGACTGAGCAGTTAGGTTCCTGTAACTGAAAGCTACAATTAAATATTCAATATGAACACCCCCCCCCCTCCCCTCTACCTCACCATGACGATAACGTTGTAAATTAAAATAATTATGTGTATTTTATTAAGTAAAATACAATCGATTCAAAAATTAAATTCTGGACGTAACTGCAATAGTAATTAGAACTAGACAACATTATGTAACGTGCAACGTTTTTCTATGATACCGAGTTACGTTTAACGTATCGTTTATAAATTTCTTAATGGCCACTTGAAAACGCAGGTGAACGCGTCAGTTATTTCTACCAGAACAGCAATATTTACTTTTCTAAAGTGTGTAAGACTCTCGGTAAACAAAGGTGACCTTTTTCTACGAGCCTTTTCTGTAACAAAAGAATGTTCACACATTTCTTCTAGTATCTGCAAAGCACAGTAGTTTCAGAACAGTTTTCTTATCGTTCTTAACATTTTATTACGTTCACTAGTTGTTTCCTTAACAAGGAGCTTGTTGCTTTTCACAGTCATCTAAGTATTGCTAGTTGAATATATTTAAATTCTCGATAAACAAGACATTATTAACCCACATTCTATACATAAACATTATAAAATATATTGTTAAAAATCGATGATAAATGAAAAAAAATTACGACACGGACAGGACTTGAATCGGTATCGATCTATCACAGCGATCTATGCTGTGGATCTAAACAATTGAGCTACCGTGATCAACACATTATCGTCGATTTTTTTCAATTTCAACAAAATAATTTAAGATGAAATTAAAAAGTTATACGATTGGAAACTTTAATATTTTTCACATTTTGCACTTGATGGCACTATATAAACTAAAAATCGATTATAAATTAAAAAGACAAATAACGATAAGTAGGTTAAATTAAAATAAAATACAACATCATAATTGCAATAACATCAACTACGAGAAAGACGTGTAATATATTTAATTATCACACTACGTAATTATTTCATAAAACATTTATAACAAGTACGTTTTCTTGTCTACTTAAGTCAATGTCAATGATAATAAGAAACACTTCAACGATGAGCATCCAAGATAGATCCTGCCCTGCTTCAGCGGACGTATTGAAAAGTTTCATCTGTAATTTATCATCTATTGTTGGTCACACAATGGCTGTAACCGGCAAGGCGGTTGTCTCGAATCTCGATCACCATACGATAGATCTTGAACTCCTCAAGTATTGTGCGGGCAGATTAATAGAGATGTTTTGGTACCTTGTCTTAGTTGTGTGCAAACAAAAGGGTCTGTTCGGCTTGTAATTTTCTATTGAACGAGAATTACGTCCCCTTTCTATATAAGGGCACGTTTGTATATATAATATTATGTTTTATTAAACCCTACCTGATGTAAAATCAACAATATTTTAATGGAGTAACCTAAAATTTTTTTCATCTCAAAGGGATTATTCTTTCATTCATCAAATTTAACGAAAGTCACAATAGTGATATTTAAAGATCTTAGTAAGGCGCAGGGACATATCATGAAATAGGTATACACATAATTATATAAAGTTAAAATTGGTAAGGTAAATTGTAGGCAATGTAATGATATGAATACGTTATTAAATATTATGAAGTATAATATAAATTAATAGTAATTAATAATTATTATTGCGACGTCAATGCTATTATTATACTACACTATTAAAATATTATTATTATACTCCCTCTGTAGCAAACCTGCAATCCGTGTCGTAGTACACGTAGCGTTACGTAGTGGGGCTACGGCGTAGCATAAATGTAATTTAGCGCAGCTACGGTGTAGAGGGGAGAAGAATTTCTGCGTTTCATTCCTGAAAAAAGTAAACTTTTTGGTCAGTAAGGACCTATTATGTGATATGCAATAGATTGTATTTATAGGCACTTTTGCAATCGTCAATTTATCTATAAAACCTAATAATTATTTTAGTTAATTATTCTTATTATTATCAGTAAATAAACGGAAGGCACAAAATACCACTTCTTCTTATTATTTGTTCTCTTTCGTTTGAAATTGTGTACAAAGTAATATTGTGGATGTAAATCCCGTGTGTTTGCTATGGAGACCGGCCACAGCATGACCAGCATGACTAACTAAAACTTGTTAAAGCCCTTTGAATTATCCTCGAGCGGGTGGAACCTGAGAGCTCGGAATTAATATTTTCCAAGTTCTGTACATTATTACGAGGCACCTTTTAACATGGCTATACTTGCCCTTTGTTTAGAAAAAACTTTGACTTATAATTTTTATTTATTGTGTCGTTGCTTATCCTTTTTTAAAGACTTAAAGACGGACAAAGATTTGATAATATAAGCTACTTATAAAATCGTGTTAGGATGCGTTGTCGATTTAAACTGGGTTTTTGACATAAAAAATTATCAAACTAAAGCCAAGTTGACTTAAATGGAATTAAGATATTTTCTTATTTAACAAATTAATATTCGTCACAAAGTTTAATTAAATGAATAACAATTGCTTTAGGATATAATTATTAAACGAATGAATTACAAATTAAATGAAAATATAGGAATGATAAGCTAGCTTAATTTTATCATCTTAAACTACATTGATGTCACCGAGAATCCATTATTGTATTTGTAAATAACACTTTGTTTCTGCTCTTCGATTTATAATGAAATTGAAATTAAATCATGAAACTAAACACGAGACTTCCTATGTGAAATAGATTTATTATTAATTAAAATCCCTGGAGCTTACTAGCTTCTCGATAGCTAACAAGCATTCGTATTCAAGCAAATAAAACTATTTACTTCGAAATCAGATCAATGAACGTTCTTGATCAATTGGCGACTCTGAATGTATATATAAAATGTATGTTGTAGGGATATTTATAATAGTGAAAATAGATAATATTCAAGTAAAAAATGTATTTGTTGGTAACTTAGATAAACAATAACCAAAAGAATACTTACTTACCTAGTCCGCTGGCGCAGCGACCCAAAGTGGGTCTTGGCCTCCACAATAAGAGCACGCCACTTCCGTCGATCCTGTGTTCTTCCAGGTCCATTCGGGATTCCGAGATACGCCTTCTTGGCGCTTCAGTGCTCTTCCATTCTTTCGATGTGGTCGGTCTTTGCAAAGTCTTTGAGCTCGAGCTTATCCCATGATGTTAGAGGCGGCAAGCAGCTTTTCGAGCTCCTCGTTCTTTTGCGGCCGCCAGCTAACGCTTTGTGTCGGTCCCAGTATCTTCCGCAGTATTTTGCGTTCTGCTACTATTAACCAAAAGAATACATAATTTCTAATGGTTCCTTCTCAAATCAAACATAACTTTTATGAAAAGAGTTATAGATTTTAAGGAATTTGTTTATTCACTTAATACAAAAATAAGATTAAAGTGACAACTGTAATAATCGGACGTGGTCACGGGGAGACGGGGAGACGGCTGCTGCAAAGTAGTTTAGCTAATATATCGTGTTTAAAGCGTTAAAGTGTTTTATTTAATTGTTTAGCTGTTTTTTAATCTTGCCAATGCTACATTATACTCGTATGTCTCATTTTCGTTGCTGTGCTAAAATTACATAGAAATTTAAGCAGTAGCTATTCACAAATGAATTCCAGTTTAAATTAAAAGCCTATTCTGGCCTAGCCCCAGATATTGTGTCAAGACAGGCATTTATAAAACGATGTTTGCAAAGTAATCAACATTTTAATATGTACTTCGAAAATTTTTGATACTCGAAATAATGAGCAATGTTATTGTAGGACGAAGTTTCAGAGCTCGTAGAGTAACTTATAATTATTTTACTAAATTATTAATTTAAAAAGTTATATTTAAACCCAACTATCGGATAACTAGTGATAAACCCACCTAGTGTATGCACGTAGCTTTATAATTTAAAAATCGAATATATATTAAAAATAAATTTGACTAAGGCAGAACTTGAACCGGCATCGTCAGCGTTCCGAGCTCTTCCCGAGTCGAAATTTTTTTCAATATATTTTCGATATTTAAATTATATAGTACCTTCACGTGCAATAACATGTGAAAAATGTTAAAGTTTTCGCACGTAGCTTTGTCAACTTTTTTCTTTTAATTTAAATAAAATTGACCAAACAACTACTATAACTCGGTTCTTATTTGTTTATGTTTCTGTTTATTTGTAAGAAACCATATCAAATTTACATTATACGTTTTGTATTTATAAACTACAACATGATCTGGTAAAAGTTCTTTCGCCATAACATATTTTCCGACGAAATTTGATTACCACTAAAAGTCGTTCTTGTGAGTTAATCTTAAAAGATATATACTATTGCTAACAATTTTTTATATAATTTAAAGAAGAATAATTTGTTTAAAAGTTTTCGCAGCGCACGCACCGAACCCTCAAAGATAAAAAATTTTGTCCGTTTTTCCACATTTCCCTCTGATTCTTCGCTCCTATTGCTCGCACCCTGGTCGTTTAGCTTTTACTTAAAGCCTTCCGCGATATTTTTCAATAAGTCTTAAGATTATTACGTTCAAACAAACTCTTTATCTTTATAATACCATAAAGATATATTTTTTTTATAATTTTGTCCATAGTGTTTAAACAGCTAAGGACGAAGGGTTCTCTCTTTCCTTAGTCAAAAGTATGACTCTCCACGGACCCATGACATTGAGAGAATCTTAGAAATTAAGAATGGGAAATCCATTAAATCAATAAGAAAAAAACTATATTACTACATGTTACCTCGAATAAAATACGATATCCATACTCACCTGTATATACCTGATTATGTAAATGATGAAATATATGAATGATCTGTCAGTAGCAAAGAGGAACTATTAAAAATGACGCGATTGGCTTAACGCCAAATCGATTTGTAACTGCGCAGAAAAAGCAATAAAAGTTGAACGTGAATACACGATAGCAACGGAAAAATAGGTGCATTCGTCATTTGCAGAGCGATGAAGCATCTTTCACGGTCAATATGCGAATTTCAATATTGTTAGAGCTAAAAATATATTACATAAAAAAAACATTCGACACCAACGGCAACGTCAACCAAATTCAGTTTGTAATGTTTAAAACACAAACATTAGGTAAGCTTTTGTTTTTTTTATAGTATAGATCTTTAAGTAACCACATATATTCATTTATTACAATAGGAAACATTTTAGTAAAAGCACATATTAAACGTTGCCTCTCATCTTTATCATTATTTTACAGGAAACAAAAACATGTTTTATATTAGTTTAACTAATAGATTTCTTACAGTAGTTGATTCAAGTCCTGCTCTTTTCTACGGCGGTGTGTATCAGTAATGCAAATAACGTCGGGAAAAAAAAAACTTACCGTAACAATTAACTAAATTTCACTAGGATTTGAGTCTAGGACCTCTTACGCTTAACGCAAAGAATGCTTTAAACATATAAAGTGATTTACGAAAATGTTATAGTACATTTACCAAAAAACTGCCTCTGAAATATAATACGTACACTGCTGTTATAATTTCCGCATGCAATTCTGTATATGAGACTAAATGTACACTAGGTAGGAACCCACATTTACTACTCTGCGGGCGCTTATCAAGACAGTTGAGGATAACGAGCGTTAATACGGCCAAACAACAATTCAGATAATATATGCGGCCTTTGTATTGCTCGTGCATTACCCAGTTCATTTTTTAAATTGAGACCAGCCAAAGAAAATGGTAATTATTCTGACAATATGCATATCCACGTATCTTGTAATATAAGAAGTGTCAAGGCGCGAATTTCACTTAAGTAAGAAGAAAGTAATTTTTGTATTGACTACGTCTTAATGGTTTAACAGAGAGTTCCGGGGTTCGAATCCAAGGGCAACATACCTTTCGTAAGGGTAGGGATGCGAATTCTGATCAACTACTCGCCTGAAAATAGTAAAAATGGCAGAGATATGCTGCTGTTAGAGGCAGAGTGGCCAAATAAAAAAACATGATGATAAGGGGGAAAATAAAAATTGTTTGTGTAAGAATTGTGTTAAAAAATTTCGCTCACTGTTCCCTTATAGAACTCTATTTGTTATTGGTAGTTAACCTATTGGAAATGGTAGTACTGTATTGCTGCATTATTTGCTTGTTGCACACGATAACAAATAGCAAGATCAAGAGCTCGTTTACATTTTAATCTAACGTGTTAGGGTGCGGTAATGACTCGGCCGAGGCGATATATTGTGGCACGGATGCAGCGAGCGGTATTCCCAGTATTGCCTACTTCGTGACAAACGGTCGCACTGCCTATATTTGTTTTATGTGTTTTATTGAATTTAATGTTATTTCGTAATATTTCATGTAC